ATGGCCAAAAGTTGTCCCAAACAAACCTTCATTGCTCTAGAATTTGCTTTGAGATTGTTGATATACTAATCTCAGTGCAAATTCAATGATAATAAAGACCATTTTAACACAAATTTCATCAAGATATTCTCATGTAATAAATAATATATTTTTTTTCTTTTAGGGTTAGACAATCTCATTTATTTGTTCGGAATGAAAGTACAATATTAGATATTGAGAAATAGTTATGAGAGTCAAAGATAATTTATTAATAGAAGAAAATTTTAGCACATTTTTATTGAGAATTTTATTGAAGTAAATTAAATTGAATTTTTCAAAAATAATTTTTTTTTTCTAAATGAGAGATGAATTGATTGAGAATTGTTAATTTTCTTAGTAAATTTCATACTTCTTAATCGAGAAAAATTATGTCAGGATATCATAATATAAATTGTGTGTTATGCATTGAGATTAATAGAATATTTTTTTTTAATAAAAGTTTTATTCCATAAAAGGTAAAAAGTAGTACAAGAAGCGCTGAAAATAAAAGTACATCCGATAAGGCCTAGAAACCAGAAGAAGATCAAGAAACAACAGATAAGGATGCAAGAGGCGATCTAAAAGCGGATTCAGGTTAGCAGCTCCCCGCAGCCAAGCTCGGGTCATCTATTAGTGACAAACACAGAAGAACAACATCCAAGGCAACCACCAAGCAACGACTTACCACCAAGGTTGCCAACAAGCCATGGCCAAAAAGGTGATAAGCAGAGAGCTGCCTCATCATAGTCCAAAGCGCACGAAAGCCCAAGGCAAATGAAGATGGCAACCCAAAAGCTATTTCTTCTTAGCTTTACTTTTACATTTTTTTTACCACCACCAAATAGAATAAATTCATCATCCAAATTGTCACCCATATCATCAGCAACAACCTCACAAGAAGTGGAGTATTCCTCCTCCATGTCCAACCAATCATTTTAAACCAAAACTGATTTATTTGAGGACCAATTCAGATGAGCATTCAATTCAGCATTAAACATAACAATAATAGAAATATCCACACAATTCACAGTGCGAGTCGAGCCTAGTAAACCCGAGACAGCCGTAACCACACCAGAGGGGCTACCAACCCCGTAACTAAATCCCAAATTAGCCTCAACATCCGCACAAGAATAACCATTAGAAAAAATCATTACCAATATTATAAACATCACAAGCACCTAATGCTATGTCAGGCAACACTTGACCAGTATGTTCAACAGCCAAGATAGGAACCAGGTTATCAGCAGCAATTGACGGATCAACATTAGGACTACCCGTAACCTTAGCAACAGGTTATGAAGGGGAAGAGAAAGGATCAACATGTAAATTCACAGCAGATAAGGGCGGCAGAGAGGCAACCGGAGCCACCACAAAAACATTATCCAAACGAATTAAAGAAGGCGAGAGCGAAGCAACAGGAGGAACATAAAGCAGACAGAATACCTCATCATAGTGGTCAACCCCAGCACCCTCAATAACATCAAAAATCGACTGTTTATGCTCAAAAGGTAAGGCAACCGCAACAGGATCCCCACATGAGTAGAAGTGGTACAGATATTGGAAATAAGATGAAACTTATCGTTACGCTTAAGAAGCAGAGCATCACATTCAGAATTGGCGTGACCAATAAACTTGCAATTATCATGGTATTTGGGAAAATCCTTCATTTCATTTCAACTAACTGAACATAACCAAGCTTATCCGGGCCAAGCTAGATGTGGTCCGGATAACATTTGGTAATGTCAATCTCCACAAGCACACGCGCCACAGACGAACGAGAGCCAACTGCAGTAGCAAAGTCAGTTTTGAGGGGTTTACCGAACAAAGACCTCAGGCCATGGAGAGTGCGGGAAGAGAAAAAAATGAGGCACAAATTAGGAAAACAAATCCAAATAGGAATAACAGGGGATTCAATGTTCACATCAAAATAAGGAGATCATTTTGTAAGCTTCATATAACTAAACACAAAATAGGAATGATGAGCAAATACCCTGTTGTAATCTAAATCATTGCTCAACTTGATCAAAACATGCTTAACACTAAGCGACGTAACAGAAAATTAACCATTCAGTTTGAGATTAAAAAAAATTGAGATTAATAGAATATAAATTATTCATATATATATATATAAAAAATTAGTAAAACATACCCGAAATGGGTCAAGTTCATGTTCCCGAACCCGAAGCGCGTTAGGTTTGGGTCCAAAAAATCGACCCGTTTGTAAAAAGAAAAAAAAGGAGGGTTCAGTTCGATTTGGGTCGAACAATGTCAGGTTAGTTCCGGGTTGGACCCAACCCGACCAATGACTCAATTTTGACAGCCTTAATATGACTAAATTTTTGTCATGATATATTTTAAAAAATTATTAAATTTATCTTAAAATAAATATTAAATGATTATGTATATATTATGTGAGATAAATTTAATAGATTTGAATATGATAATTTGACTTTAAATTTTTCCACATAAATCCAACATTAAGAGAGAGAAAGAACTGGCATCCAACCAACCGGGTCCAACACCTTGCTCCCTGCTCACAGCCTCACACTGTACTGCTTTCCCACTCTCTCCTCTCTCTCTCTCGCTCGCTGGCTCGCTCTCTCCTGTCTTTAAATTTAGACTACCCTTCTCTTTCCTCTTCAGGACCATCAAACACTCCTCCCGTGAGCGAAAGGTCCTATCTTTCCCCACTCCTCCGCCACACCGCCACCGCCACCGCCACCGCCACTCATGGCCTCTCCCGCCGACACGAGCAAAACCAATAAACTCGAACGCTACAACTCCTACCTTCGCCGCCTTTCCAGCGCCAAGCTCCTCTCCGCCTCCTCCAAACTCCTCTTCCGCGCCACCCTCCTCGCCACCATCTTCCTCATCCTCCTCCTCATCCTCCACTACCCTTTACCTCTCTCCATCCATTCTCCCTCCTCCTTCTCCTCGCCCCACCGCAGCCTCCTTACATCCTTTCCCCCTTCCTTCTCCCCTTCCCTCTCTCGTCAAATCCGCCTCTCAGCCACCCCTCGCCGCTCCTCCGGCCTCTCCGTCCTTGTCACTGGCGCCGCAGGTTTTATCGGCACCCACTGCTCCCTGTCCCTCAAAAAACGCGGCGACGGCGTCGTCGGCCTCGACAACTTCAACTCCTACTACGACCCCTCCCTAAAACGCGCTCGTCAAGCCCTCTTAGCCCGTCACTCCATCCTCATCCTCGAAGCCGACCTCAACGACTCCCTTCTCCTCTCCCATCTCTTCTCATCCTACCCTTTCTCCCATGTCCTCCACCTAGCCGCCCAAGCTGGCGTCCGCTACGCCGCCAAAAACCCCCATTCGTACATCTCCTCCAACGTCGCCGCCCTCGTCTCCCTCTTCGAATCTGCCGCTAAATCCGCCGACCCTCAACCCGCCATCGTCTGGGCTTCTTCCTCCTCTGTTTACGGCCTCAATAAAAAATCCCCATTTTCCGAATCCGACCCCACCGACAACCCCGCCTCCCTCTACGCCGCCACCAAAAAAGCAGGCGAAGCCATTGCCCACACTTACAACCACATCTACGGCCTCTCCCTCACCGCCCTCCGCTTCTTCACCGTCTACGGCCCGATGGGCCGACCCGACATGGCTTACTTCTTCTTCACCAAATCCATCCTCGCCGGAAAACCCATAACCATCTTCCGCACCGCCGACGGCAAAGACGTCGCCCGCGACTTCACTTACATTGACGACGTCGTCAAGGGCTGTCTCGGCGCTCTCGACACCGCCGAGAAGAGCACGGGTTCTCCCGGCGGCGGCCCGAAGTCCGGCCCCGCCCAACTCCGAACTTACAATCTTGGCAATACTTCCCCCGTCCCTGTCACAAAGCTAGTTTCCATTCTCGAAGGCCTTCTTGGCGTCAAAGCCAAGAAGAACGTTGTAACGATGCCGACTAACGGCGACGTGCCGTTTACCCACGCCAACGTCAGCCTCGCCGCCGGCGACTTCGGCTACCATCCAACGACCGACCTCGCCGCGGGGCTGCGGAAGTTCGTCAGATGGTACGTTCATTACTACGGGATCAAGCTTAAGCCCAGCAGCGGCCAGGCGGTGGCGGCGCAGAGGCTGTAAATTAGCGAAACTGAGGAGGGCATTTGTGCAAATGTGAAATAATATTTTAAGCCGTGTGTGTGTATTTTGTCATTAAATTTTATAGTTTTGAGATTTGAGATATCATAAGGATTAGAATGAAAATAAAAAAAATTATTAAAATAAAAGTTCCGGTAAAAGATGAAAGGGGACGGAACGAAAGAAAGATGAAGTCCTTACCTCTTCTTTTACTTTTGTATTAAACTGTTGTAATTGTGAAGGATTTGGAGGTGTTAAATGAAAATTTATGGTTAATACTTAATAGTGCCCAGGATGCAAATCTTGCGGCTTTTTAGCATCAATCTTTTTATTTGATAAATTTTAAATTATCTGTCATTTTATTTTATTTTAG